GATATTGTAAGGAGAAATTCTGTCTTGGTCACTTGTGGGAGTAAAAGGGTTAAGTGACTAGTATCAAATTTCTTGTTATAGCATCACCTCTGAGTCAAACATTAGGGTCATGTGAATAAAGAAAATGATCACCCACTTAAACAGCTCTGACTTGATTATTAAACAAATTCTCCCTGTGAATACCTCAGGAACTGTGCATAGGCTCCAGTATTGAGAATGTAGGAAGTGAACAGTTAGTAAAAGATGTGGGGCCTCAAGCTATTTATATCAATATTAATCCTATCTGGGTTTCTCACCAGAATTTATTTTAATGATTGAATGTCAAATGTTTAGGATTTTGCCAAGGAGATGTAATTGTACAGGAGGAGACAGTGTTTGGAAACAACACATTATCAATGGCTCAGTAAGACAGTGCTATGGGCAGAGAAATTCCTGCAAAGTCCTAAATGGTTAGCAGATTATGTTTAAAAGCAAACAGGCTTTGTTTTTGAATTTGCATTTTAAGAGAAACTTCTCCTAGAGATCATGATAGCAGGAAACTAAGAGTGCAAGGTAATTTGGTTTAATCAACAGAATTCGTGATGTAAAGAATTTCTAAAGCTGAAGAATTGAGTGTTAGCCTTTTGCCAGAGGGATGTTAAGGTCAGGGGAAGGGTTAGGGGGCCCTTTGCTCTGACAAAAGATTTTCAGAACATTTAAGTTGGATGCTTGTTTCAAATTTCATCAGTTACTGCCTGTGTAATTTTCCACTCATTGTTCACCACTTGGAAAGTTTATTTGGATCCAACATTGTGACCAGCTTCCAGTTGGCTTGTTAGCTCAGTTGGTAGAGGTCATTGGTTCAAATCTGGTATGGGCCTGAATTTTTTTTCAGGTCTCATTTCAACTACTAGTTCAGTAGTGTTCATAGCTGCAAGGATCGCTTATATCTCATGGTGACAGGTAACAGCATATTTTACTATTGATTCATTTTGACTTTGTTCATGACATTCTTTTCCAGTGACCTGCCCTGGGAATTCTGCTTGTTCTTCAAATGGTCCAGGTACTTATTGCCGAAAATTTTTTAACTTGAATTTGAACATGCTAAAGATATCTTTAAGTCGCATGTTCCCTTCTGTGTAGATTCTGTATCTTATTTTTCCTTAACATGACTTTATTTTTTTATTAGGATTCTCACAATGTCTTTGTAAACCAAGTTGGCATGGTTATAAATGCTTAGTTAAGGTATGTTGTTAAACATTGAGGTTGAAATTTGAAATCTTACAACAGACTCTTATAGGTTTTGGTACAAGCCAGTTACCAGCAGTCTACTGAGGACCACCCTCTGTTTAGCCAGCCAGCAGCTTCTAGTGTTTGGGTGTAGCCTTGCTGCCCCTTTTTGGGCACAGCTTGTTACACCTTTGGCAGCCACTTTTGAAAATAGTTATTAAAACCACTGGCTTAGCACCATGATATGTACTTATTGACTGGGTGGGAGGGCCAGACAATTAATCATTTAATGATGTACTGACCCTGCACAGCGAGGTCTGTTTTCCTGTCCAGCCCAACCAAACTCAGTCAATAAGCATTTTATCGTATGACTACTAAGCACTGAAAATTTCAAAAATGTTGTTTCGACCTAAATAGTCCATGATAGATGGGCAAGTGGGGGACAACTACCCTTAGAAGTTCTGCAGTAAAAAAACTTATCGTTTGTTTTTTTGGAGGGATCAGAACAAGAGACTCACAATCCATCTATATGGGTTATTTTTCTCTATTCTTTTTTCTGTTAAGTTTTTGCAACAAAGCAGTATGAGTGCAGTGCTGATCAACTTTTTCTGCACTGAGTCACTTCAACCTGTCTGGCCCTAGACATGTCAGCTTTCACTGTGGTTTTCTTTGGGATTGCTTGTGCAAGGCAGGATGGGTCATATAATGATAATTTCATTTACAGTATACTATTTAGTATTAGAGATAGAAATGATCCATTCTGGAATGAAATTTTCCTTTAATTATGTCAGCATGTTTGGTTTGAACCAGCTCACATCAGGATAAATGGTCTGATCAGTAAGCACAAAAATTGATGGTACACACTTTTTAAAGATAGCTTTAAAAGGATCAGTCAAAAGGATTTGCTACAGAGGGTGTTTGTTTGGTTTTCTCTATCTAGTTTAGTTTTTCAGTATTGCATGGATGAAGAGTGTTTTTACTGTGGATAGACTTGATTAACATGATTGTAAGACTTCATTAACGTGAATATTCAACTTCCAGAGTGGATTTCCTTGGCTGTTAATTTTTGCTCCAGTTGGTGGATCAACAGTAGTTTTAATAGTTGTTATTCTGCTCATCCAGCGAAGAAGGTAATTTTGTTGCAGTTCAATATCTGTTTTCCATGGGTAAACACCCCTAACATTTGTGGACTCTGATTTAATGGTCTCAGTCACATTGATTCCTTATGTTGCCTTGCTCTGAAAACACTTTTAGTGGGAATTTTCTAAACATAAAGTGTTTCTACACACAAGACTTTTTGCAAAAAAAAAAGCAGCATAGCAGCCAAGGCTGCCAAAAATAAAAAAAAAAACTGACTCTCTGACTCTTTCATGTACACCATTTTCTAAAATTAACCCTTTCACCCCTAAGAGTGCCTGACATGAATGATTAGCATCTAATTTCTCCCTTCAGTGTCACCCCTGAATCACACATTAAGGTCACCAGAATGAAGGAAATGATCACTAACGGAAAAAAGCTCCTGATTGTTGAACAAATTCTCCTTTTCGGCACCTTAGAAAATGTGTAGAGAGGAGTAGGGAGAATATACATACTGCTGCAAGGGTGTAAATGATTAAAATTATTTCCTGCCTCTGCTTTTCCTTGTAGGCGTGGACAAAGGCCAACACATTATTCAGTACTCCACTGACCTAACTGACTGTTACTTAAGGCCAAGCCTTGCTGAAAAACAGCCAATCACTGATCTGTTCTTGGGAGGAAATTATCAGTACTGCTTCTCTACATCATATGTGCTGTCATGTAATCATTACAAAGCACTTCAGGAAATTCTCTATTAGACGAAGTAAAAAGTTAGGATTCAGATTTGACATTGTCATCGATTATTCCCACTATACAATAGTTTTTTTTTATTTATTTTGAGATCAATTTTTTTTAGTTATTTCTCAGGGTACAGTTACTTTGAAAATAA